TCAATGGATAGGTTAAATAGCACTTTAGACATAGCTAGAGAGAGAATTAGCCAATTGTAAGATAGATCTGAGCAAAGAACAGAAATTAATAAGGTAGAAAATGAAAGTCATAGCAATCATCAAAAGAAAAATCAGAGCCAAGAACAGTTTTTTAAAAAGAAACTGTAATAAAATATACAAAGTGGCAGAAAAATAGGTTGAGAGATAAAAGGAAAAGAGAGACAAAGAGAGAGAATAGATAAGCATTATTTCGAATAAAAAGAAGACATGACTAGAGGTACAATAAAGGAGTTTGGTAATCTTAAGAGAATATTATGACAAATTTATGCCATTAATATGACAATATAGATGATATGAAAAATTTCCTTAGGAAAAAATAACTTACCATATTGCCTTAAGAAGAAATTGAAAATTTAAACATACCTAAAATTTAAAAAAGTAAACGGTAGGCTAAAATGTAACTACGTATGTACAGGTGGACTTGTAGTTTTACCAAATTTGTGAAATCAAATCATCTCAATCTTATTTAAAGTTTCCAGAGGAAAAAAACAATTGAAAATTTAAACATACCTAAAATTTAAAAAAGTAAACGGTAGGCTAAAATGTAACTACATATGTACAGGTGGACTTGTAGTTTTACCAAAGTTGTGAAATCAAATCATCTCAATCTTATTTAAAGTTTCCAGAGGAAAAAAACAAGGAAGACAGTAGTCCAACTCATTCGGTGAGGCTATTATAAATGTGATTCTAAAAACAGAGAAACAAATTTAAAGTCCCATCTCACTTATAAATATAGATTAAAAGTACTAAATAAAATATTTCTAAATTTAATCTAGCAATTTATGAAAAAGTGTTATGAATGAGTAAGTTTATTTAAGCATATAAGGATGGCATAAGGTTAGTAAATCTGAAATTCAATTTTACGTTCACAGATTGAAGGGAAAAAACTATATGATAATTTGAATAGATGCAGAAAATCTTTTGATAAAATAGAAAACACTGATTTCTGATAAAAGCTTTTGTCAAGTTAGTTGTTTCTTTAACCTGATAAAATATTACTAGAATCCCATCGCATACATCATTCTAAGTAGTGAACCATTATAAGTATTTCTTGTCACATTAGAAGAAAAGACTAGAATGCCTTTTCTACCACTTCCATTCAATATTACACTAAAGGTCCTATACTCTTATAGCACAAGAAGAAAAGAGAAAGACATAAGACAATGTTGAGAAATGTCAAGGAAGAAAGAAACTTGGTGAATGAAAAGGAATGGCTGAGCTCTAAATACGGGTCCTCGGGTCAATATTATCGATTTTATGGGATGACATCTGATATATTACCCATCACTGATTTTTCAAGTATCAGATCTTCTGAGAGTATTTTTCACTGAAGAAGTACTATACATTATCAATTAGCCAGGTGGATAGATTCTGAAATACTTCAAGCAAAAGGATTCTGTGGGCAGGCAGCAGTGAACAAGATAAAGTCATAAGCTACCTTGAAGTTATTTCTTATTGAATTGAATACTAAGGTGGGAAACCCCAACTTTAACCTCAGGATGGAGAAGATCAGGCTTCAGGGTGAGTCTGTGCTGTCTGCTATGCTATGTTGTCCAGGGAATAATTCCTTCTGGTAGGTCATAGTAATCTCATAGATGAGTTTCTGAAGACTTGAAAATAAAGAAGTGTGGACTGGGCTTATTTTGCTCATGATATTTCAAAGAACTGTGAAGAGAAAATAACCACCCAGACGGGTAGCAGGATGTGACAGAAGTGGTTTATTCACAGCAGAGGCCCTATTAGGCTTGTCTCTAGCTTCCCCTTTTCTGTATTGTCTTTTCCTCTTCTTCTTAGATATGATGCTCTTTCACTTTCTTGGACTGGGCTTATTTTGCTCATGATATTTCAAAGAACTGTGAAGAGAAAATAACCACCCAGATGGGTAGCAGGATGTGACAGAAGTGGTTTATTCACAGCAGAGGCCCTATTAGGCTTGTCTCTAGCTTCCCCTTTTCTGTATTGTCTTTTCCTTTTCTTCTTAGATATGATGCTCTTTCACTTTCTCCCTTAATTTCTTGGACTGTCCTGTTCTAACTCTTCATCTTGTCTTTGACTTGCTCTCGTGAGATCTACTATCTCTGCACCTTCATCTCTGTCTCTCCCTTCTCTTTGTCTCTGCCTCCTTTTTTCTTATCCAGTAACTGGACTGGCCATTGTATTTTCAAACATAATTGCAATATTTGTAAAATGACATTAATAAATATTGCTCTTAATTAGGAAATAACTTTAAGTACATACTATGTGATTACATAACATTATAAAATACTCCCATTTGCAACAATATGGATGATCCTGGAGAAACTTACATTGAGTGAAATAAGCAAAGCACAGAGGGATGAATACCACATGTGCTCAGTAATATGTGGGAGCTAAGAGAGAAAGAAGGAAGGAAAGAAAAGACCACAGTACTGCTTAGGTCTTGCAGAGGGAGAGAACATTCCTTGGGCTACAAAGTGGAGCGGGAGGGGGAAAAGGGGAGGTGGAGGGAAGTGAGGATAATTGGGTGGGGGATACGGGGTACAAAAGCAATTTCTGGTAATGGGCATGCTGCCAGTATGAATCTGGCCCTCACATCATGCCATGAGGGGTGACAATCAGCTTTGTATCTCATGAATATTCATAACAAAATAAATAAATAAATAAATAAGAAAAAAATGTTCTAAAAATGGCAAAGCTAATGTATGGTGATAAAACCAGATCAGTGGTTGCACCTGAGACAGCAGGTGGGAAGCGTGGAATTGACTGTAAAGCTAATGTATGGTGATAAAACCAGATCAGTGGTTGCACCTGAGACAGCAGGTGGGAAGCGTGAAATTGAGGCACCAAAGATATTTCTGGGAGGGTGCAAATGTTCTACTTTTTGACTGGAGTAGTGGTTACAGGTATGAAAAACTGTCAAACTCATCCCACTGTACACGTAACCTGAATGTTACGGAATGCAAGTAGATCTGAATAAAGTTGATTTTTAAAAATAAATCAATAAAAAATACCGCAGAAGTAAAAAAATAAATCTTCATAGGTTTTCTAACCATCATACCACCAGAGCAGATTAAGCAACACTTTATCTCTTGCGCATGATTAGCTCTTGGCTGGGGAAACTGGAATGTGCCTATCTTCCTGACAATGGCAAAGTTTACTGTTCATGGTTTTGGGTTTTGTGCTGAGTAGTTTCATGGTGTGAGTTTTGTAAAGATTAAAGTGATGGCAATGGGAACCAAGGTTTGGGTGGGAAGAGATACAAATGAGGCTGTGGGACCTGTGAGAATTATAATGTACACCTGAGATGAAAAGGGTCTACCCAAACGAAAGTAGTGAAGTGAAAGGGAAAAGACAGGACCTTTGATCTATTGTGAAGGCGTTTGGTGAGTGGAGGAAAGAGAGATGATGATGGCTGAGAGCGTTCCTGACACTCTGCTGGTCCAAAGCTCACACCTTTCAATCTTACGAAGATTTGCTGATATATCTGTGAAAATGCCTGGCATCTGATAAATAATGGTTTCTTTCTGTACCTTTATTTTTTTTCCCATGTGCATCCTATAGCAAGCCATACAGGAAAGATTTTTGCCAACAACACAAGCTGAACTAAAGTAATCATTAATTATATTTTCTATTTTTAAATTAAACCTATCTCTTTCTATGTCTATTAATATAGATACGTCAGTAGAGAAATAGCTAGATAGTAGATAGGCGCTTAGTGTGGACTATTAGATCTGTTTTTGCTGACATTCAAAATACTGGCTCTCTCTCTAAGATCAACTGAATTTTTAAAAAATTCTGTATTTTATTTAAGTATAGAATAGAACTTTTTATTAAATTAATAAACTAAAGCAACATTTAAAAATATTAGAGTAGCTTACATATGTAGGGTATTATCTAAGTGAAATGTAGAATCAAGACTTTCTTCCTAATTAGGAATAATTCCTTGATAAATTCCTAATGTTTATCATTAGTGTTTAAGCCTTTTCCATGAAAAAAATGGACATTATTATATATTTCACAGGATTGTTAGGGAAAGAAAGCACAGTGAGGCACAAAGGCCTCAGCGCTGGGCCTGGCAAGAGTATAAGGTCACAAGACACGTGACGAATCCCACCTGTCCTGTTGTCCTCCGCTTACCAACTACCAAAGACCCTTCCTGGTAGGTTATTTTGAAATTCCTGAGTTTTAAGATTATTTGGGATTAAAGTCTTTTGACACCTCCCACTTCTCTCTGATCCAAAAGTCTCATTCCTCAGTTTCCTCTTCTTTCATCTGACATGAGGAACATTTCAAAGGACAAAGAAAAACAGTCTAGCATGGGGGTCACGTCTCTCAGTTCACTGCTCTCTGCTTTCCTCACAAGATTAGGTACAAACTGTTTCTTGAACCAAGAAGATTAAGACCGCTTTGCTCCTTTTTCTATGAAGGGTCCGGGGATTACTTCATGGTAATTTAGTGCCCCTGGGTGAGCGTGGCCTAGTATAACCTCCCTGTTTTTGGGGGGTTAGAGAGCTGCCCGTTGGACTTCATTTTCCATATATTTACTACCTTTTTTAGTTATTCATTTAACAGCCTTGTCTCATGGGTTTCATTGAAAAACAGGTTACAAAATATATGCTTTGAAAACAAAGCAAGACAAATGAAAAAGAAATAAATTAGGTTTATTAAAATTGGTTCAATTCTTTGCTGTGAAATTTAAGAAGTTTAGTCTCCAAGTGGTAAATAGCATTGTGAAAAAAAAACTATACAGAGGAAAAAACACATAGGGATGACTTTTGCCCTTTAAAAACATTAAATCAAGAAAGACAAATTGATTGATGCAGCCAACTAGGAAACCTAGTTGCACTATAAAATCAAGCATAAGATACGTGCGCACGTTATAATTCTTGCAGACCTCCATTTTTCTGTCTGGGAAGTTGTGCCTGATAAAGAGAAGAATTTTCAGGTAAATTAGTACTTACCATCGTCTTTGTCAGGGACGATTGTAACCCGAGCCTCTGGGAACTCTGATCCGACTCTCCCACCCATGGGCATGCTCAGCAGGACACGGAATGTTTCCTCCTCTTCGTACAAGGAGTCATCGATAATGACTATCCGACACATTTTCTCCTTTTCGTCTTTGTCAAAGCGGATGACACTGGTGTGGTCCTCAGGCCTGGATATGTAATCAGAATAAGACAACACTGAAGTCGGCACAGTTCCGGTAGCCGTTCCTGGAGGTGGAGAGAATCCAAAAGGTTTTATGTAGAACATATTACAAAGGTATTTCTGGAAACAATTATTTTCTCATATGGCATTTTAATGGTCAGTTAGTACATATGAACACCCCTGGAACTGCAATGGTAACTACACACTATTCTAGTGTCATGAGTCAACTTCACGATGACCTCAAACCTATGATGAATATTACATTTCAAGTGTTTTGCCTGTCAGTGGACTTTTGGATCAACATGATATTACAAAATAACAGCACCCACTATTCAGATGATAACTGTCCCAGCAAAGCACCAAGCACTTTACCTACTTACCTCCTTAATCCTCGTCACTACTCCACTGGGTTTTTCATATTTGGTAAGTGAGGTTTACAGAAATTAAACCTCATGTGCTCTGGGACCCAGAGCCCAAGACTGATCCCGAAATCTATTTTTAATCACTATTCTGTACTGCTTTTCAAGTCATATATATAAACAAGAATTTTAATGAAAATCTGCTCAGATATCAACAGCACATATGACCTTTTCTTTTGCATTCTTAGAAAATCTACTTGTTTCTTAGAAAGGCATTTATTATATGAATAAACATTAGGTATTAATTTTAATTTTACATTACATAAAATCACCTTTCATAGGATGCTCACCCATGAGCACAACTAATATTTTAAAATTTTGTTGAAATAAGTTTCCAACTAGTTTTAAATTATTTTTAAATTAGTTCCTTTTCCTTGGGTAGGCATTGTTTTACCATTTTTGTTGTTATTGTTTTTTTAAACACTAACCCCCTTCTACTTGAGGGGGCTTGAGAGGGCTTCAGTTCCCTGCCATCTAAAACGCCTTGAGTATTACAGTCAGTGACCACGTGAAGTCAGACATGTTTAAGATAAATAGCAGCAGAGTCCTTCCAGCCTCTCTCAGAGGAGCCTTCAAAGGTGCAACACTGAGAAAGAGCTCTGGATAAGTATTTTTTGTATTTATAAAAAAACTGATAAGAAAGTATACCCCATGTGGCAAAATATTATGGCTCCAACATGTGAAAGAGGCTTATTTATGTCTTTTGGGGGCTACTTTAGTTTCTTTGCAAATCGAGCTACCTTGTTGGGTATAACAGATCACCATTAACTCCTGCCTGACATCTCCACTTCTCCTGATGGGGACGAATAGTTCACCAACATCTTCTTCAATGGAGTATTCAGACTGGGGAATAAATACAGTTGACTCTAAAGAGAAAACACAATCACAACCTGTTATTTTTGTGCGAGCTTCTTATCTCTGAAACAATCTTATGCAAATTAAAGTTTCTCTAATAATTGATTTATACCCCTTGGATATTCTTTTGGAGATATAATAGTCTCCCCTTATCCATGGTTTTGCATTCTTTGGTTTCAATTACCTGGGGTCTGAAAATAGGTGAGCACAGTACAACAAGATATTCTGAGAGAGAAAGAGAGAGAGACAGAGAGAGAGAGAGAAAGAGAGAGAGGCAGTACACATAACTTTTATTCACATAACTTTTATTATAGTATATTGATATAATTGTCTCATTTTCTTACTAGTTATTGTTAATCTCTTACTGTGCCTAATTTATAAATTACATGTATATATAAGAAAAAACATAGCATATGCGGGGTGGGGTGCTATCCAAGGTTTCAGGCATTCCCTTGGGGGTCTTGGATCATATCCCTCCCAGAAAAGGGGACTACAATGAGGGAAAGGAGGGAAGAAAGGTGGGAAAAAGTAGGTATAAAGTGTGTAGGCTCTGGGCCAGTGAATTTTTTAATCTAGAAACAAAACCCAACATGGCTTTTATCTCCAGTAATTGCTTTTTTCTCAATTAATAAGTGTGGCTGACACTGTTCCTTTAAATCCAACTTTGTTCTCTTGGCACAGATTAACACCTTCCAAGGAAGGAGTGGAATCTGAGATGTGAAAGTGACCTCAGATGTCATCCTGTCCCACCTCTTACTTTGCAGGTGAGGAAACTCAGCCTCATAGAGTGGAATTTATTTGCCAAGGGCTCTTACTAATCGAGTCAGGATGAGAACTCAAATCTCGTAAGGTTTGCTCTGCTGTTCTCTTTACCCCAAATGTGTTCCTTTTGGATGACTCATGATTAAAAATATAACAATATGTTCATCAACACTTTTTATTTTTTTTTAATAGCTGTTCCTTTAGAATTCATAAATCTGTTTATCAGCTGTACGGAATACTTCTGTAGGGTCCTTCCTCCCCTAGTAAAATAACAACACGTAGTAAACAACATTATACTAGGGTACTTCAAAATGTTCATGGAAGGATTCATATTGTCTTTTAATTCTGTTTTTTCATGAACCTTTTAGATTAAAAATATAACAATATGTTCATCAACACTTTTTATTTTTTTTTAATAGCTGTTCCTTTTGAATTCATAAATCTGTTTATCAGCTGTAAGGAATACTTCTGTAGGGTCCTTCCTCCCCTAGTAAAATAACAACACGTAGTAAACAACATTATACTAGGGCACTTCAAAATGTTCACGGAAGGATTCATATTGTCTTTTAATTCTGTTTTTTCAGGAACCTTTTGAAGCACCTTTGTATTTATATAATATTATAAATCTCGATGATTCATTTGTAACATAGTTGACAGGTATACTAAATAATAAAAATGGCATAATTAAATTGTCAAAAACCAGTTACTATGGAAAACTACAACAACCATTTAGTTCAAGTTTGACATTGTAAACCCCAAACAGATGCCCTGGTATTCGACTGGGAGTCTGTTCTACGGAAAGCCTCACATCCACAGAGAAAATGCCTCATGCTTATTTTTAAAACAGTAAGCCCCCCTGCTTTTGATGACTACAAAAGACCCGCTGGAATAGCGGATACAGCCCTGGGGTACATGCTCCACCCTGCTCCACCCTGCTCTGTGCCCAGGAGCTGACCCATGTGAACCACACCAAATGGCTTTCTGTCGGGTCAGCCAGAGGGGACACGGGAAGGATCCAGGAGGGCAGGAGCAGAGGGGGGTCAGGCATTTCTTCCCTGGCTCCCCTCACGTTCCCAGAGCTGGCTGCACCTCCACTGTAGTGGACTGAATTATGTCCCCCCAAACTCACTGAGGCTTGAATTGTCTCCCAAGTTCTAGGTATTAGAAACTCAGCCCCCACTATGACTGTTAAGAGGGTGGGAAACCCTGTTATGATAACTGAAAGGTGGAGCCTTGAAGAGGTGTTTGGATTGTAGGACCATGCAGTAGTGAATGGGTTATAAATGGTGGTCGGGGGCGTGGCTCTGAGGGCTTTAAAAGAAGAGGAGAGTCTCTCTCTCTCTCTCTGCTCTCTCTGTTCTCATCTTGTGGTGAGAGACGCCTGGGCCACTGTCACCAACACTAGATGGACTTCCCAGCCTTAGAAACTGTAAGCAATAAATTTCATTTTCTTTATAATTACCCAGTTCTGTGTATTTTGTTATAAGCAATAAAAATGAACTAATACACCCACTAAAGGTCCCAGTGCCTGCAGGGGACCCTTGTCACACTCTGGGCTCAGCCAGCCTCTCCTCCTCTGCACCCCTCAGGCCTACCTGTGGTGACCGTGCCACTCTCACTAGCCTTGGGGCACTTCTCACCTGGGGGTTAACAGATCCTTGCCCTGACTTTGTAGTCATGTGATCAAATTCTTTTTAAATTACTCATTTTGAGTGTGCCATTTGTTTTCTTCTAGGACTCTGAGGGATATATCAACTTTAAAAATGCCCTCATTAAAAAAAAAATCTGTGAATGTAAGATTTTATAACAAATTATTCATTTATCAAACATTGATACAGTGACTTCAACTTGCCAGGCACTGTAGAAATAAACAAAATATCTGGCCTGAAGCTTTCATTCTAGTCGGAAGGTGGGGAGAGGAAAGAAAATAAACAAACATACAAAAAATACACAGTATATG